GGGTTAATCCTGTCCGTCGAAACGCTCTTCCTAACAATCCTGTACATGAACACGGCCGCCCTCATCTTCCTGCCCATCGGTGAATTCCCGAGATGGGCGGCGCTGGATGTCAATGGAACAATTGCACTCTAAACCTGTGTTCTAGCACAATATGACGGGATTACTGTATTCTATAGCTTTCGAAATAATTTCCCCCGCCAAATTTATACAAATATCCCCCTCCGCTCGACGGCTTTCTCCCCACCATATCACGGGCCTTATGCACAGTTTGCTCCGCCCTATTCTTACGGTAGCATATGGTAATCAAACCCCTAAAGTAACCCCAGAATCTGTAAGGTGCTACTTGTTCATATTCCACTAGAAATCAGCAAAAATCGTTTATGCAGGTGTCCCAAAAAAAAGCACCCCCCTCTAGCGGCGCGCAGTCGTGTCCGATTTCCACCGTGTAGGTATCTATCGAAGGCTCTTGAAAGGGGCGAAAACAAGCAGGGTTCATTTTCCTTATTTTTTTATGCGCGAATTTCATCTCCAAAAACCAAGAAAACGGCAAATTGCGCGAGATCTGTATGCCAATTGCGAAATTCCTATTGAGAAGCTGCCTGTTTTTTGCAACAACGTTGAATATCGGACGAATAAGAATAAATTTTAGAGAATGAAACCCGCTTGTTTTCTCGCCTATTCGTGGGCTTTCAAATGGTAGAAAAACCATCCTGATCTGAGTTTCCCCCGGACCGCTAGAGGGGAGTGCTTTTTTGGGACATCCAGTATTCTTGGCAATACAGACGTTTTTCTCAAGGCCTTATCCACATAGAATATCAAGAAAAATGCTTCAAAATCTCCGGTGTTTCGAAAAAAACGATTTTATATAGGTGTTTTGCCCCTTAAAATTATAAAACAAAGATCGCGCTAAAAAGTAGCTTGATACACCTCGGGTACCCCGAACTTCTTCGAAATCGTCATCTCGTAATACTTGTATCCACCTATTTTTTGATGTGTAAAATGTATACACTTTATTGCGTGTGTTTCGTGTATACGGTAGAATAAAGAATTGCATTTTTTTAAGTGGCTTGGTTGGGGGAGAACGGGGAGGAATGCACCTGAAGGTATACAGAGGATATTCGAGAAGCCTGGGAAGGTGCAAGGGCATGAGTTTTTCTTTTATCGTCTCTGCATTTCGCAGACCACGAGTATCCTACCTTATATAATTTTGGAGTGTATCTGTGTGTGTGTGTGTGTGTGTGTGTGTGTGTGTGTGTGTGTGTGTGTGTGTGTGTGTGTGTGTGTGTGTGTGTGTGGATGTCACTTTCGGGGCCCGATTTGAGGGCCTTCCCTTGTCCAAAATGCGCTAATTCTCCGTCACCCGGGGGAATCGACCCTCCTCTTTCCGATGGCGTTTTCAGCATCCCGATAAAATACAAGTTTACAAAGTTAAAGCCGGTTTTATTGATTTTTGGGGCTCCGAGAGGGCTAATTTGCATAAGATGAAAAAAATACAGATTTCCTCATTCTTGCCAGTTGCACTCGCGAGTTTGGTCGTCTCTTTGGATCTGCCTCTCGATGCCTTTCCTTCCCCTGTCCCGCGGGCAGCCCCCTTGAGACCAAAAAGGGGTGGTTGGCGCGTGGTGCCAAGCATTGCATGGTGTAGTGGCTAGCGCTTCGCCGTGCTAATCTAACCATCGGAGGTTCGATCCTCGGATATCGTAGCTGTTTTGCTTTTTGCTCGGAAAGTGCGTTTCGGGGTGGATTTCCGTTTAGGGAGGTTATTATGAAGTTAGTCACTCAAGCCGCCTATAGAATGAAGCTACGCGTTCAAGCATGCGCCGCAGGCTAAGGAATCAAGCTAACTGCTCAAGCTAGCGCCGCAGAGTTTGGAATGACGCAAGCCGCTCAAACTAGCGCCGCAGGCTAAAGGTTCAGGCCGGCCCCTGAAACTAACGTTGCAAGCTTCGGAAGGAAGTTAGCCGGGCAAGCTAGCGCCGCGGGTCCAAGGTCAAAGCTAGCCCTTCAAAATTGCGCCGCGGATAAGGAGGCTCAAGCTTGCGCCGCAGGCTTAAGTATGAAGCTAACCTCACAAGCTAGCGCCGCAGGCTTTAGAACGAAGCTAGCCGCTCAAGCTAGCGCCGCAGGCTTTAGAACGAAGCTAGCCGCTCAAGCTAGCGCCGCAGGCTTTAGAACGAAGCTAGCCGCTCAAGCTAGCGCCGCAGGCTTTAGAACGAAGCTAGCCGCTCAAGCTAGCGCCGCAGGCTTTAGAACGAAGCTAGCCGCTCAAGCTAGCGCCGCAGGCTTTAGAACGAAGCTAGCCGCTCAAGCTAGCGCCGCAGGCTTTAGAACGAAGCTAGCCGCTCAAGCTAGCGCCGCAGGCTTTAGAACGAAGCTAGCCGCTCAAGCTAGCGCCGCAGGCTTTTAGAACGAAGCTAGCCGCTCAAGCTAGCGCCGCAGGCTTTAGAACGAAGCTAGCCGCTCAAGCTAGCGCCGCAGGCTTTAGAACGAAGCTAGCCGCTCAAGCTAGCGCCGCAGGCTTTAGAACGAAGCTAGCCGCTCAAGCTAGCGCCGCAGGCTTTAGAACGAAGCTAGCCGCTCAAGCTAGCGCCGCAGGCTTTAGAGCGAAGCTAGCCGCTCAAGCTAGCGCCGCAGGCTTTAGAACGAAGCTAGCCGCTCAAGCTAGCGCCGCAGGCTTTAGAACGAAGCTAGCCGCTCAAGCTAGCGCCGCAGGCTTTAGAACGAAGCTAGCCGCTCAAGCTAGCGCCGCAGGCTTTAGAACGAAGCTAGCCGCTCAAGCTAGCGCCGCAGGCTTTAGAACGAAGCTAGCCGCTCAAGCTAGCGCCGCAGGCTTTAGAACGAAGCTAGCCGCTCAAGCTAGCGCCGCAGGCTTTAGAACGAAGCTAGCCGCTCGAAGCTAGCGCCGCAGGCTTTAGAACGAAGCTAGCCGCTCAAGCTAGCGCCGCAGGCTTTAGAACGAAGCTAGCCGCTCAAGCTAGCGCCGCAGGCTTTAGAACGAAGCTAGCCGCTCAAGCTAGCGCCGCAGGCTTTAGAACGAAGCTAGCCGCTCAAGCTAGCGCCGCAGGCTTTAGAACGAAGCTAGCCGCTCAAGCTAGCGCCGCAGGCTAACGAATAAAGCCAACCATTGAAGCTAGCGCCGCAGGCTAAAGAAGGAGGTAACCGCTCAAACTTGCGCTGCAGGCTTTCTCTCGAAGCAAACCACTCAAGCAGGGGCCGCTGGATAAGGATCTGGCCGATCAAGCATGCGCCGCAGGCCTAATAAAGAGCTGAGCTAACTAGTAAGCTTGCGCCGCATGTCAATGCAAAGAGGTTTGCATGGGAAATGTGTTGTTCTTTGTTCAGGGTAACTTTATGTGGAAGGGCGCTCGATTCATAGGGCCTAGAAGGGGTCCAGCGGGGGAGAGGCGCGAAGCGGCTCCTCCTCCGCTGGTCTGAGAATTATTATCAAGGGGCAAAGAAGTATGGTGTACGCCGTAACACGCCGAATCTTGGCAGTTCGCCAGTTAGTTTTAAAAAAGCTAAAAGCGAAAAGTCAGGCTTGTTGTTATTTAAGGTCTGATACACCACTCGTCCAATTTTGGGACCGTTTGGATGCCGAAATGTCAGATCGTTCGTTTTTTTGGGACACCCTGTAGTTTTTAGGCCAATTAGGTTTGCTGCCCACACTTTGCGAATTTGGACTTGCTAGCGATTAAAATTTCTTAGGAACTTGAACAGATATAACCGAGCGCTACACACGTTTCTTAGATAGTTATAGTTATAAATTAATTCGAGGATGTTTTTATACCAATAATTATCGAGGTAGAGCCGTTCGCGTTCTCTTCCCCTCTGAACTCCTCTGAAATGCAACAAGTAATTTCCAGTGGCCTGGAGGCCCTTTTCGCAACAACTTCCCCTCCATCACCTGGAGTCTCTCCAAAAAAAGGGGTGTTTTCATATAGAGCGGGGCCCCTCTTTTCTGGGCCCTTCCCCCCTTTCTGGGCCCTCTGCTTCATGTCGATACGGGCCTGAGGGGGGTATGGCCCTCTCGGAATCTCGGGCCATCGAGTCTCCAGAAAAAAACAAGGCGAATTATTGAGCTGCGCCAGTTGTTTGTGCACAATTTTGGTGTTTTTCTATGTAAAATTAAATTGAAAAAATGGTTGTAATTTGAGTATTGTAAATTTAAGTATAGATCGTTAGTGTCTAGCATTCCCTTGTTTTCCGCCTCTCGCCCGCCTCAAAATCAAACCCGTTTCAGGACCCAGAAGGCCCAAAAAAGGAAGACTTGGAAAGCCGATAGACGCCCGAAAGCAGCAGAGAGCTGTCGGCAAAATGGTAAGGGCTTTTCGAGAGGGGTTTTTGGGGTTTTGAGGCTTTACACATGGCCGACGGGCTGTCCCCCTCAAAGCCACGGCAACAACTTATCACCCTCCCTCCTTTTGCTGGGCCCCCAACGGGCTTGACGTGTTTTTGGTGGATATATCCTTGCGAAACGCGCGTTGAGTCATAGGGCCCACGAAGGGCCCACCGGGGCCCATTCCGTCAGTTGGTCTGATTAGGAAATGCCTGTTTTGGTTTTACTTGCTGAGGCGAGTCGCAAAACCCAACTGGTCGATTACTTTTCCATGCCTTTTCGGCCGCTAGATCACTCGTTTTTCCCTCTTTCCTTCTCTTTCTTTCTCTCTTTCGCTCTCTCTCTCTCTGTCTCTCTCTCTCTCTCGCTTTCACCATCTCTCCCTCTCTCCAACTCTCGCGCTCTCCATCTCGCGCTCTTTCCATCTCTCGCGCTCTGCATCTGTCGCTCTCTCCATCTCTCTTTCTCTCACGATCTCTTGCTCTCTACATCTCTCTCTCCCTCTCCATCCATCTCTCTCCCCATTTCTCTCTCTTTCGCTCTCCATCTCTCGCTATCTCGATCTCTCTCTCTCCCCATCTCTTGCTATCAACATCTCTCTCCCTCTTCATCCATCTCTCCCTCTCTCCCCTCGAATCTCACTAGAAACACTTACAACTTCAGAATGCGCAAACCACCGCCTGAAGACATGAAAGCGCAAAACGCCGAGGAGCGAAAGCCCCTCACCGGGGAGATAGGTAGGATTGTCGAGCATTTAATAACTATTTGAAGCTTCTTTCCAGGCTCAACCCCTTCAAAACCGCGAACAACCGGTCCTCCACCAACAGTTGGTGTTCTTCGGATGACTGATGAGCTGCCAAGCAAGAGCAACGTCGATATTATTATCCAACAACCCACCGACTCGGAGGACGGAATCCGGAAGTAGGTCTTAAATCAAAAACCAAAACAGCACTGCCGAGAAAGACCAGAAATTCGCGCAAAAACGTAAAATATTTGACAGAAAATGAAATGTTCTCGAAGCGAAAACGATTTTTCGAGCGCGCGGCCGGCCATTACATGTCGTAATGCTTTGTAAGACACCCAATCCCTCGATCTTGCTGATTCTCTGATCAATTTTCATCATTATAAAGTCCAGAATGGTCAAAATTCGATGAAGATCACAGAAATAGTTTCAGAATTTTTAAATTCAAGCATTTTCACGTCCAAACAGGCGCAAAAGATCATCTGGCGCTGTCGCGTTGCGGGCGTATCTGGCTATTTTGCCAGGAATTAACGTTGAGGGGCGTGGACCAGATTTCGGAGCCCCCTTTAAAAACAGAGGAGTTAGTGGGCCCAGGAAATAGGGAGCCGAACCCGGTCATGCCAATTTTAAGATTAAAACAGCTGTCAGGTGCAAACAAATGGGCCTTCCTGATCCCTTTTGAGATTACCTTTTGGAGCGCATAATGACAAATCTATTACAGAAGAGGAAGCCTGGAGGGCACGGTGCTTCATCCTGATAAGAGGTCAGTTGGTTCCTTTATGGGTCCGGGGTCCAGCTGTTTGGGGGGAATGGGTTTGATTACCGGAATACTTTGGGCACATTAATGGGTGGACTTGGCACCCGGGGGCGAGACTTTGACCTCAATGCAGAACTGTTGTAGAAAAACTATTTTTTTGGATTTTGATTCCGTTTTGTGCAAAAAATTAGATCTTGGTTGAATCAAGAGTAGGACGCATTCACGCCGCGTATTGGGAGAACGACATGATCCCGGCAGCTGGAAATCCCGATTACCAAAATCACGACAGCAAAAATACCGACAGCCAATATCCCGACAGCCCGAAATCCCGATTACCAAAATCCCGACAGACGGCTAAAAGCGTGACAGATAGCGAAAATCCCGACAGATCAAAACCAATCCAAAATCTCGACAAATCTCGGTAGCTACAGCAAAAATGCCAAAAGTCAAAATGGCGGCACGTTCTTGACGCTAGTGTAGATGTAGCTTGCTTTCAAACATCGTTTTTAACGCCCGGAAAATGGCTGGCTGTCGGTATTTTGGAGTCTCACGCACCTTGTTGGGCGCGGTCCGCCATAACCTGCCCCTTCATAATAAGCTCCAAAACCCGAAGAATACAACAAATTAAATTGAATTTAGTGGCGCCGTCTCGCTGACGATCCCAGATGCGAACGTCTCGCACGTGCAAGTGATTGATGGCGGCGGTCTGCGGAAGACGTTCTCCATGGAGAACATCCGCACAAAACTACGCGATCAGCGCGAACGCTTTCAACGTGGGTTTCGAAGGATAAACGAATCGGTTGGCCGTTTCCGTCAGAAAGCCGTGGACATTTTGACTGCTTAAGCATACCGCTTTTGCGATTTTCTATCAGAATTTCGAAAATTAGAATGTCAAAGTCAAGTTTGTCGAAATTTCACCTTTTTCGAAATCTCGATCGCAAAATTCGGCTACGGCTTACTTTACCCCCCAGCCGGAAGATTTTGGTTATAACTTTTTATTTTACATTGTTGTAGGCTCAAATTAAAACTCTTAGTATATTTGTCGACGTTCAATCGAATGGCGTTGCAAAAATCCCGGCAAAATAAGCGAAAATACCCAAAACTTTGAGACCCTTCCGCGGCGGGGGGGTAAAGTAAACTGGGAGTTTATTTGCAACTGATTAAATTGCAGTCGAATTAAATTTTGACAAACATTTTGGCAAATTAAAACTGTGACAATATCGAATTTGTATACAAATAAAATGTCGACATTTTAATTTTTGGAAAATGAAAATCCTCGTTGTCACCATTACCATAATTTTACGCGTTTTCTAATCCGTGTTTATTCGTATGTTAAACCATTTATTATTATGCATAAAAACACGATTGGTAGTCGAGATCAATCATCATAAAAGAAGCATCATTTCGGCTCAAGACAATTCATGTTGTAGTATCACCGTAGCTAGCTGGACCATCCCAAAGATAACGTCCGTAGTTAGGAGTGTAAAGTAGACTGGCGTGGCAATGCCGGTGAGGAATGTTAGTTGCAGCAGTTGAAAAGGCATCCTGAAAAAAAAGGAGAAAAATATTTGCGGCAAGCTGTTTAATATATTTTATATAAAAAATCTATATCTATAGGAAAATTACGGAAATTAAGAACATGAAATGACGAGGCTCTTTAAGCATTTCATGCCCCAATGACCGCTATATAAGGGCTGTGTTTTTGTTTTGTCCATCAAATTCGGGCCGTACGCCCGCCCGCCCCTTTCGGCTTATCTATCAAGCAGCACCCGGGTGACAAGTACCACCCCGGTGCGGTTGTCAATAAAAACAAGGATTTTAGCCTCGATTTAGCTTTTTTGATTTTAGAAATTTTGATCCATTGGTTTCTGTTTAATCATTATCTAGACAGCTTTTTAACTCGTAACGTATTCAAGGGATGATTCTAGGACCCCATTAAGTTCCGAGCAAAGCCGACTGAAAAACCACCGCCAAAACCTAATGCATTATCTTGCTTTTCCTCAATAATCGATGCTGGCCTGCCTAATCCTCTTCAAAGATCTCTGCTAGCCCGCCTCCGGATCTATGCCGACCTGCTGATTTCGAGATTTCTAAAAGCCAGCCTCAAGGTCTTCAAAGACCTCTGCTAGCCTGCCTCCTGATCCCCCTTTAAAGGTCATCCTCCCAGCGCATTCAAAGTTCTCTGCTAGCGTGACCGCGCTTCCAAAGTTCTCTGCTAGCCTGCCCCTAATTGCCCATGGCCCTCAGCCATCCATAGCCACCTTTTCCACCAAAATCGAAGGTGCAAAATCCCATTAACAAGGCTGTTTTTTTTTCAGGCCACCAATGCGCGGGGATAATCCTTTTTCTGATCCTCGGAACCATCTGCCAAATGTTGTCGTATCTTGCGTCGGTTTGGTGAGTTCACCACCCTTCAAAAGCAAACTACGAAAAAAGCGTTTAGGGCCGCACAGCTGAACGCGGAGATCATTCAGGCGGCCGTCAGCAACGAGCACGCGCTTAAATTTAACCTCAAAAAGAGTGGGTTTTATGACGGAAACGGTGTGATCTAAATGTTAGATATGGCCACTGGGCCCTCGAAATATCTGATTGGGCTGCTCAATTTTGGTGGTCGTCTACTCAGCGCTATTGGAACTGTATTGTTAGTACAGGTATGTAATAAATTAATGGTTAAAGGGAAAAACGAGGTCGAGAGAGGAGAGAGAGAGAGAGTGAGAGAGAGAGAGAGAGAGATAGAGAGAGAGAGAGGGAGAGCGTGCGAGAGAGTAGGGAGAGAGAGCTAGGGAGAGAGTGAGATAGGGGGAGAAGGAGAGAGAGGGAGAAAGCGATAGAGAGAGCGAGAGGGACTGACAGATAGAGAGAGAGAGGGAGAGAGAGAGACCCTAACAAAAATGCTTAGGTGATCGTCTCCTACTGCAAAAGAAGACGCTACAATACAGTGTTGAAGAGCGCGGCTGGGGAATCTGACGAATTGGTAAAGTTTTATAAACCAAAATTCTTTCACCATAAAAATGCATTAAAATCTGTAGTAATTGGTGGTTTCTTTTTGCATCTACATTCTAGTTCTAAAGTCAGGAAACTCGGCGAGGAACGCGCCCGAATCGGTTTTTTTTCACGCCAAATTCTTAGCCACTACGTCCGAGAACGCAAGGCACCTATGGACCTCCTGAAATCCGAGCCTAAGAGCCCGTTTCAGATTGGCGAAATTCATGGGGGGATCACGGAGTATGCAGGAGAGGGATGTGTGTCTTGTTTCCAGGTAAAAAAAATCTAAAAAATAAAGCAAAAATTCAAATTGCAGTCACTCACCTAAATAACGTCGACTCGCCCGCCGTCAAGATGCCTTTTACGTACTTTAAGCTTATCGTAATCCCTGAAGCTATGCCCAAAAGTTTTTTTCCCAGCCAACCCGGTGCCTCTGCCCAGTTCTGTAATGTGATCTCTCTTTCTTGCATTTGCCCCAGGCCATTGCTAGTCACGAAATCTTTGTTTTTGCCCGCTAGATCTCACCGAATCTCAACAAATATCTTGTCAAAACCCGCACTACCCGCTACCACTTACGGATAAAGAGTTCTGCTTTATTGGGTTGTCAGATATTCGAGTGTTTTGGATTGGTTTTTAGGAGAGGATACGCTCCGGTTTCGGATTTCCTCTGAATGCTGGGCTGGGTTGATGTGAAGGTTTTTGTCTGCCTGATGGAAGCCAAGCGTATATTTTTTTAGATTCTTTAGGCTTAAAGAAACGTTCAACTCCCAGTTTTTCATCAAAAAGCAAAAAGCTTTGTCACGGCCGGGGATCGAACCCGGGTCTTACGCGCGGCAGGTGAACACGAAACCGATGCGCCAAACGGCCGACGCGATGGTGAAAGGACAGGCCTTCTTCCCTCCAGACGGGCCTATCCACCAGGGGAACGGACCCTGCTATAGCGTGGACCGATTTCATAAAATTGGGAGGCGAATGTTTCTTTGAGTGTAGGCTTTGCTTCGTCTTAAGCTGAGGAATTAGATTTAGACTAGGCTTAGTCTTAGGCTAGGCTTAGGCTTAGACTTACTTAGGCTTAGGCTTATGTTTATGCTTAATTTTAGCCTTTGCCTTGAGAAATTTGCCAGAAATCAATGCCCGAACTCCATTTCTTCTCCCCTTTAACCAAATTTTCGCGGTGCAAGGAACCCCCTAAAAAATTTGCCATCCTCTCCCAAAGCGAGCATCACCTGCGTCCAGGTGTTTTCCCGGAATGTACAATCTTTTTTCGGGAGGATCGATGAAATATTTACCGGCACTCTCCCCCCTGGCCACTCTTCCGCTTTCCATAGGCGGGTTTTTTGAGGAATCCATCTGGCCGGCTAGTCGTTGCGTGCGCGAATTCTTTGCTGGGATTCTTCGACTCTTCAAAGAAATACTGTCTGGGCAGGGAGGTAATAACCAGAAAAACCTGGCCCTTGTTTTTGCGTTTCAAAGGGTTTGTGAAGAGGTGCGTTTCGGTACTGGATTGTTAGCAGGGATTTATAGGAGAAGTTAATTTTTTCTAGTAATCTTGTGCGGTTAAAAAAACCATTTCAGCATGTTATACACATTTTAGCTCATAAAAACTATACAAATTGTGGACTTTTGGTCAAAAATTTTCGAAAAACCTTCTAAAAGTCGGCATTTTCGAATTTCCAAAAATGTTTCAAGCATTTTTTTGTAGCTTTCTACCAATAAAAAAGCGCTAAAAACTATAAAATATACTTTTCGTTATTAACAGCTTGGCATAGACAAAAAGCAAAGGTTAGTAGTCCCCTGCTAACAGTCCAGTACCGCGTTTTGTTCATTTCCGGTGAAACACAGCTTTTGCCTTTTCCTGCTTTTTCTCTACTCGCTCCCCCAAAACTCATTCCTCTACTGCTGACCCTTCTCTGCCCCATCAACACGACCCACATCGCTGGCTCTGGTGATCCGTGAATTCTCTGCCGAGTCCCGGGCCTCCCCTTTACAATTTCGGGGAGCATGAGGTGAGGTGAGGCCTGGGATGGGCCCCAGGAGGACACACACCGGGACGGGGGCGACTCGCCCATTTTTGATGGGCTGCTTCGACTCTTCCGGAAAACAAGGATTCTCGCCTATCACCCAGCGTCTCGCAGATTTTTGGCTAAATTTGGATATTGTATTTTAATCCCAGGTTTTTTCGGAGCTCAAAATTTCGGGTGTTATGCTGACAAGCAGACGTTTGCGAGGGTCATCGGGGGTTCAAGTCTGAACAAAGCCTATTTTGTGCCAAATTTTGCGCTGATTCCGAATATGTTTACCAAATCTTCGGAATCGCCATTTCCCGTAAGTTATGGGCGTGATAAGACCGAGAAACGCTCAAAATGACCCAGTTTCAACGACGATCCTAACTAACTAGTAAGCAACGTCTCGGCGTTAGACGGGCAGACGCGAAATTTGGATGGGAATCTATATCCCCACGGAAAAATCCTTAGGAAATTTACGTCGTTCACATCCCTTAAATACCTGCTCCATTAATATGTCATAGCATCAGATACTATGCAAAAAAAATTTGTTAAAATCGTCTGTACCACCGGGATTCATTAAATTTAATCCGAAATCTCGATCAAACTCCAACTCTGGGCTGAATGAAATGTAAATCCCTAAAATCTCCGACGAAAACTTGGAGGTGTTTCCCGTAATTCCCCGCACTTTACCTGATCAGACATCTCTCAGAGCTTGGCAATTTTTGCGTGTTTCCGGCCCCTCAAAAAGAGCGGGCGTTCCAAAATATTTCCGGGCAAACAAGGGGCAAAGAGCTACAACGACTTTATACGTTATGGTGGTAGATTTTAACCCTTTCACCCTCTTTTCACGCTTCCTTATCGCTTCACGCTTCATTATCAGGGATGTAGCGTAAGGTGGGCCCCCTGAGCCCGCCCCCCCCCCCCGAAATCGGCCGGGGCCCGAAAGCTTCATAAGGGGGGACCCTTATGATTTTTATTTTCTCAAAAATGTTGCTGCCTGCGGCGCTATTTTTTCACGTTTTTGCTGCTATTTGTAGATCTATAAAGCCTTTTTTCCAAAATTTTTCGCCTGCGGCGCTGTTTTCACGTTAATTTTTTGAGTTTTTCGAAAAAATTTTTTCGGGGCCCCCCCCCGAAATTTTTTTGTGGCTACGCCCCTGTTCGTTATTCGTGAGCTTTTACTTGTTGTAGATTTATTTTTCGGCCCATGCGCACTTTATTTACATTATATTTCTACCTGACATTCGGCAGAGCGGCGGTGACACTCGGTCGGTTTTTGGAATAAAAATTCGGTAAAAATGCCTGGACGTTAGCCGTAAATCGTATAATATTTTTGATATTTCAGACAACAAACCGATCGCACTTTATGCGACGTTACTTATCGAGGACATCCACGAATTCGACTGGCAGACTGGGGTACGCATTTTGTTAATGGAAAAGCTGTCCTGTTTCCAACCTTGGGCCCTTATAACTTTTGATAGAGGAATAAACGACCATGCGCTACGATGCCAGTTAGCTCAAATATGTCAGGAAAGAGCAAAAAACTCACCTTGATTTTTGGCGATTTCCGACGCCGTAACAATACAAATGACACCCGAATCATGTGCGTTCCGGAAAAACGTGCGTGTCCATTTTCCGGCGTTCTAGTGGCGAGATCGCTGTGGATTTTAGGGTGTAATTATCTGTTAGGCGTACCTATGTTGAGGCAAAATATTAGATTTATTGAACACTGGAACAACACTGAAACGCCGGGAAAAGGCAACGCACGTTTTCCGGAACGCACATTATTCGGGTGTCATTTGCATTGATACGTCGCCGAAATCCGCAAAAATAGTTTAGTTTTTTTGTTCTTTTCAGACATATTAAGCTCTATGCCATGGTAACGCATGGTCAATTATCCCGCTATCAGAAGTCGCTCAGGGTCGGGATCATTTTTTGGGGCGCCCTGTAGTTGTTTTTTGGAGAATCCGAATCATATATTTTTTAGGAATTTGAAAGTACCGTGGAGCTGTTATTAGCCTCGGATAGCCCGAATGCAAAATCGCTTGAACTGGCGACGATCGAGGCGCAGAACGAGCCGCATCCCTTTGTCGATTGCGCCTTTGATGCGTACAAAGTACAGGTGAGCAGCTAACAGTTTCTTAGGGTTTTTGTGTATTTCGCAAACGAGTTTTTTATGAAATTTACCATATTTGCGGCGGTAAACCCGTCAGAAAATTTTGGAATTTATCGAAAATCTGGAATTTTGCTGAAAATTCTATTTTTTTGCATGCTTTAACAAAAATTTTAGTCTTTTTTATCGTTTTTAAATAGTATAAAAAATTGTGTATAAACTGCTCTAGAATTTTTATAATATACGATATCATAATCTCCCGAAGCTCATATTTTTACGTAACAAACTCACCCTTGATTTTCATTTTAGATGCTCAGCGACCTTCGCTGGGTCGTCAAATCGTTTGGCGATATTTTGAGCAGCAAGCGAAGGTGGGTTCAGCTTGAAAATCCTTGAATACCCAATGCTAGCTTCCCTGTTTTTTCAGACTTTATTAAATATAGAGTGGAAAGCTTTTTTTAGAGCCCGTGTCCGGTCGATCTGCCAACTGCCGTCGGGGCAATTCCCGTTCGAACGGCAGCACTGCTCAATTCGAGTCATTTCCCGTCAGTCTTACTTTTTGCTTACATCTTTTTCGAGCTCGTTTTCCTCTTTGGAACTGCCACTCACTGGCCATCAACCTGTTTTTTGTGCGTTTTTTGTCGGCGAGGGACAACAGTTGCCACTAGGGCACACGCTAAGGAACCCTGAAACATATCCGGGAAGCGATTTTTAAACGGGGGCTCGGGATCAAAAAAATCTTTCAAAAAAACAAGCGGCTTACTGCCTAAATGACAAACGGATTTTTTTTGCAAAAAATAGATCAAATATTTGATAAAATTTGAGGCAAAATCAATTTTTTTAACCCGCTAAAAAAATTTCATGCCGTCTGTCAAATTTGTGGTGTCAAATTTGATCTATCAGGCGCGCCATTCAACGACCTTGGTGATTCCCGAGCGCATCAAATTCTTAAAATCGGTAGAGGATTCCAGAAACTATGTCGAAATTTTGAAATCTTTAAATAGGCACCGAAACCTGGTCCACACCCCTCGCTCAGCGTCGATTCCTGGCAGATAGCCTCCTCGGCCGCGGCGCGACCGCGCCCATGCCCCGAAAACAGCGTATATTTCAAGGTCCATCTTACCTTTTTTTAGCTCGACACTCGTCCGCCGAGCTGGCCCTGCAATGGGCCCGAACAAGCAAGCCCGTCCGAACCTCGCATCCGCGGTATCGTACCGCTTCTGGAGCCGAGATTACAGGTAGTTTAAGCAATTTTTTTGGTTACTTCTGATCGGTTATATCATACAATCCGGAATCTGTCAAATCTCGAAAATCAGAATCTTGAATTTTCAGAATCTCGAATTTTTAGAATGTCCATGGATATCAGCATTAAAGGCTCCAGAAACTGCACGCCTACGCCCTGAATCCAGCATAGGCATATTTCGAGAGATTCTGAAAATTCGAGATTCTGATAGTTATTCCATACAATCGAGTATGGCCGATTACCTATCGTGTCGTTCGATACTTTTAGACTTCACACCCGTCGCCTGTACCTACGATTCCATCTATACGATAACAAATGCCGAGACGAGGAGTGGTGCGTTCGACAAATCTGGCTCACATCGAGAGGCCTTGCGAAGATCCGGCTTTTTCAGCCCGCCACTCGTGTCTGGAGGCTCGGTTTTATGTCCGTCGCCCTGTGCTGCCATTCCTCATTCGCTATTTGTTGCCCTCGACTACCGTAGTCACCCTGATATGGGCCTCGTTTTTTGTGGCTAGGTCGAGCTTGTCACTGCGGTTTTTCCTGGTATCAACCGGCGCTTTTATTATGACAGTTATGGTGGGTAGATGAGAGAGCGAGAGAGAGAGAGAGAGAGAGAGTGAGAGAGTCAAAGAGAGAGAGAGAGAAAGAGAGAGAGAGAAAGAGAGTGTGTGTGTGAGAGAGCGAGAGAGAGAGCGAGAGAGAGATTCTATATGTGAGACATACATAAACCCCCTTTTTAGTGGTTCTCCTTGAATCAAATGGCCCCCAGCCGCAGCTCAATCACACCTGGAGACACGTGGAATTTGCTGCATTTTTGTTTCCTATTTGGCGGCTTAATTCATGTAGGCATCTACAGATTCATAAATTGCTCTTTTAGTTCCTGATCACAATATTCCTGCAAAATGCGCACGAAAAATATCAGAATTTGGCACGGCAGAACGAGCTGGTGAGGGCGGAGAGCAGGAGGTCAGTTTGCCGAAAAAATGTTTGATCATTTTCGTGATAAACACCTGATACGTTTTTAGTGATAAACTGCTTTTAGAAGGTACGAGAAAAGGCTGGTGAACAAGATTTCGCATCAAACGCCGGCTGACAGTAAAGTGGATCAAAATGGGAATGATCATCAGGTCGGTGCGATTACAGTGTTTATGAAATTGGTTTAGAATTCCCACACCCCACTGCTCAATACGTACGAAAGAGCGCTGACAAACGGGTTTCAAGCCAAGGCCGATCAATTGTCTCTTCGGGCAGCGAGGTTAGCATAGTCGAAGCCTAAACCTTAGCCTAAGTCCAAGCCTAAGCGGTGCCTAAGCCTATCCATATGCCGTAACCTAAGTCTAAGCCTAAGCCTAAGTCTAAGTCTACGCCTAAGCATAAGCCTAAGCCTAAGCATGATCTAAAAAACCTCCAAAGCTTCCAGGTGGGACCTGATCGGCCGTTCCGCCACACTGCCAATCTACGTTGTCTCGATTTTCGTCTTTTTCGTGTGGAATCTGTGGCTCAAGGAGGAATGGGATTCCTAAACATTACCATTTACGGTTCGATAAATTTTCAGATTATATATTCACAATGCCGCTCCGTTGAGGCGAATAAATAATTTATCGATAGAAGACGATGAAGCCTTGGATTCAGGCCTTTTGACGGTGTTTCAGCTCCTCGGCCGGTTTCTGGGGGATATCCTTGAATCGACAGTGGGTGGTTAGTGTTTCTGGGAAGCAAGGGGCAGTCACCCACAGGAACCATTCTTTTAGACGGGCATCCCTGGAAATTTGGATTTTAGAGTAAGCCATAGCGGAAGTTAGGCCCAAGTTTAAAACTAAGCTTAAGCCTAAGCCTGAGCCAAACCCAATTATAAGCCTAAGCCTAAGCCCTAATAAGACGAAGCCTAAGCCTAGCCTAACTAAGCCTCAGTCTAAGCCAAGCCTAAGCCTAAGCCTAACTTCGGCCGTGCCGAAGCCTATGTCAACTAAGCCTAGCCTTAAGCCAGCCTAAGCGTAAGCCTAGCCAAAACCTAAGCCTGTGTCTAAGCCTATGCTTAAGACTAAGCCTAACCCTAGCCTAAAGCTAAGCCTAAGCCTAAGCTAAGCCTAGCCTCAGCCTAAGCCTAAACCTAAGCTTGTCCTAAGTCGCTCACCTATACTTTCCATACGTGAAATACTTGACACATTTCGGGTTGTTGTAGGGTGTCTTTTGAATGACGGACAGATCGGCTTCAGGGGCACACCCGATCGGGCAGGCGATCCGAGTCTCCGACCTGAACGCCGGAAATTCAGCTTTTTTCGTTGACTGACTCTGGCAGCCCATTCCAAGTGGTCTTTGGCATCGGCTCGCGGTGGCATTTAAAACGGTTCGTGTCACTCAGGATCTAGAACTATCCATCTCACAAAAAATTAAAAGCTTTTGCTTGAAAAAATACAGGGTGTCCCAAAAAAAAAAACCCCCCCTCTAGCGGCGCCCAGACGGGTCCGATTCTCGCCGTTTAGGTATCTATCGAAAGCTCTCGAAAAGGCGAGAAAACAAGGAGGGTTCATTTTCTTTATTATGTATTTTTATTGGCGAATTTTACCTCCAAAAACCATGAAAACGGCAGATTTACGCGAGATCTGCATGCTAATTGCGAAATTCCTTATGAAAAGCTGCCTGTTTTTTAGAAAAACGTTGAATATCGGACGAATAAGAATAAATCTTAGAAAATGAAGCCCGCTTGTTTTCTTGCCTTTTCGCGGGCTTTCGAATGGTATAAAAATTATCCTGATCGGAGCTTCCCACGGACCGCTAGAGGGGGGGGTTTTTTTTTGGGACACCCTGTAGAATATTAACCCCTCACCCTTGATCCGGGCGCCTCCAGGTGGCAATCGAGGCCCTGCGTGGAATTTGTGCAGCGGATCGTGCGTTGCTCTGAACAAGGGCTGCGGTTTACGTTATCCCCCCCCCAGCCAGAAGTTTTTGGCTATAACTTTTTTTATCTTGCATTATTGTAGGCTCAAATTAAAAATACTAGGCTCAAATTAATAATACTGCGTGGAAGCTAGAAAACGTCACCGTAGAACCTAACCAAAACTTCTAACGAAGGAAATCTTTTTCAACCTACCCCATCTGGGCCAAATTCCATTCTCCTTCTCAGCATCGTCAGATTGCCCAGAAGCCAGTGGTAATACAAACAGGTAGATGAAGTGCAGCATTTTATGTTATTGGCGGTGAGGTCTTTGAGATACCGAAAGATGACCTCGAAAATGTGCTTCCGTCGGTTTATACACTCTGTGGAAAAACTATGAGACCAGTCGTTTTTCGGCTGTAACTTTTCCCCGAATCAAGCAACCATCTTGATATTTATAATTTAGGCTTCATTTCGTATAAGAAACCTGCATGGAAAAACTGAAGCGGATCCGATGCGCGCAAGGTAGTGTTTCGGAAAATTGACCGCCTGAAATTGTAGAAAAACTATGAGACCACTTTTTGTATTGGACTCTAAGAGTTTCCCTTGGTCTTTAATCGCCCTGTTTTTAATGGAAAACGTTTAATTTAGCCCAAAACTATACGTTTTCGTCATTCGTTATGTTTTTGCTACCTATATGAATTTTTCCAAAAAAAATCGATTTTTACATAGAAATTAGCTTTTAATAAAATTTCTCTGCCAAATAAATTGTATTTGACAATTTAAGAAATGCCTTCCTAAAGAGCACGACTTAACGCGCATTTTGGTAGGCACCACTTGACTATACAGCCCGGAATGGGGAAACTACACGTCGATGTGGGAAGTCCTCGAGGTTGCCATCCATTTGCTTGGCATTTTAACAAAGAGCCGCAGAGTCGCAAATTGCAAGTTCGAAATACTGCTTATTGGGCCTCTGCCGAAAAAGTTTTTTATACCAAAATGCGCGTTAAGTCGTGCTCTTTAGGATGGCATTTCTTAAATTTTGAAATACAATTTATTTGGCAGAAAAATTTTATTAAAAGCTAATTTCTATGTAAAAATCGATTTTTTGGAAAAATTCATATAGGTAGCAAAAACATAACGAATGACGAAAACGTATAGTTTTGGGCTAAATTAAACGTTTTCCATTAAAAACAGGGCGATTAAAGACCAAGGGAAACTCTTAGAGTCCAATACAAAAAGTGGTCTCATAGTTTTTCTACAATTTCAGGCGGTCAATTTTCCGAAACACTACCTTGCGCGCATCGGCTCCGCTTCAGTTTTTCCATGCAGGTTTCTTATACGAAATGAAGCCTAAATTATAAATATCAAGATGGTTGCTTGATTCGGGGAAAAGTTACAGCCGAAAAACGACTGGTCTCATAGTTTTTCCACAGAGTGTATAGCCCGGGGGAATCCCGAGAAGCCGCGACCGTTGCCCTCAAAAAACAGGTCTCTTTCTCGCTCACTCTCTCTCTCTCTCTCTCTCTCTCTCTCTCTGTCTCTCTCTGCCCGGCCTCCCGTCGTGAGATGCATAGTGTAACCGATGCATATATGGTATAGATAGATGGGGTGGGGGAAACAACGACTACCTGTCACACCTCCACACGATTCGTTATTGTTGCATGGTGTCAGGGGGGTGAATGAGGGTAGACAAGACTCTGATAGGGGTTTGCCAGTTGTTTAAAGGCACTCGAACGGGTACTATCTCCAAATATCCATTCATCTATCCAGTTTTACCTATCTAGCTATTTCATGATGATCCATCTTCTAGGTGAGTTATCCTACTATCCGACTACCGCACTATACAGGATGTCCCAACCCCCCCCACATAGCGGTCCGCAGCCACGTCCGATTTTTACGGTTTAACCATCGATTGAAAGCTCTTGAATAAGCGATAAAACAAGCAGGTCTCGTTTGCTATAATTTCATCTATTTCCATCGATACTTAAGGATTTTTCTAAAAAACTGGTACTTTTTCAACGGGAATTTCGTAATTAGCATTGGCACACTGCGTCACAGAGAGAGAGATGAGAAAGAGAGAGTGGTGAGAGAGAGAGAGTGAGAGCGAGAGAGAGAGAAATCTGCCCGGGATCTTTTTCATTTACCCTAAAACCGAGGTATAGTTCCGGTACACTTTGGCGACGTACAAATACAAATGACACTCTAATAACGCACGTCCCCACCCTCTCGTCGCAAAAGCTATGTAAGCTAAGAGGGGCTGTTCTTAAAATCTCTTGCTGGAAATAGTCGACATGTGAGCGAAATTATTAGCGTTGACCGTTTTTAGTGTCAAAATTTCATAATGCCAAAATTGCCCGGAAATCCCCTAAGCCTTTGTAAAATAAGTTTCGACATTACGATTTTCGACATTATGATGGCAATTCTTCCTCGATGCTGTCGGCTGGTTGCCTTCATTGCCTATCTCTTCAACCTTCCCCTCCTCTCCAAAAGACAATGACTTGTGCCATACGTGCTGGCTAATGGATTCTCGCGCCCGTTTCCCGTAAAGCCGTCATTTTTTGTGCGCGCGCCTCCCCTGACCGCGAGTGGATGGGTGAGACCAGATTTGGGTGCTAAAGGAGGTCGCGCCCTTCTACAAGTCTCTAAAATTCTCTAATAACTTTTGCCTATGCCGCCAAACAACGATATTGCACTTAGGCTTAGGCTGCGGTTTAGATTAGGTTTGGGCTGAGGCTGAGACCTAGGGTTTAGGCATATCCGTGTGCATAGGCTTAGGTTTAAGCTTAGGCTTAACCGTTGAGCTTTACTTTGGATGCCGACGACGAATAATCATGCCTGGTCCGTCCTTTTAAAATCAAACCTAATGGTCTTTGTGAGATCCCGATCGCCCGCACACAAAAATTGTGGTCTTGATGTTGTGGTTTGGCAGGAGGGTGGTCATCCATCCATCCAATAGGAGGGGTTGGCCAGGTGTGCGGGCTCTCGGAAATTCCGGGTCTCCTTTGTGCCGATCGCCCAAAAAGGGGAGGCAAAACCAAGCCAGCCAGCTGGTTATTTATCTTGTACCCCTCGGGGGTGGCCGTTTTGAAAAAAATCCGGCAGTTTGGCGTTTTTCCTACCTACCGAAATTCATAGAAATTCTCCAAAGCGTGCGAAATCCAGGGTCTGGTCTTTTTGCTCATCTACCTATTTCTTCCGCCCAAAGAAGCGCTCCCTATTTTAGAGACATTTCATAGAGTTCAACATGTATTTTGAAAATAAAGTGTTTGCCCAATCGTTTTTGGCAGTATTTTTTTTCAAAAATCACAATCAAAATCGAACGAAGGGGCCGTAGTAAATCGGCAGGCAAAAATTTTTAATTCTGAGGGCCAGAAGGATGATTGTCTTATTTTTGCCGTTACCACCCTTCTTACAGTCTTTCTTCTCCGCAGTGGCTAGTATCATGGCCCAAATACACCCATGTCTATGGCCAAAACGGGCAGTCAGCTAGTCAGGTAGTCAGTGACACACACCTGCTCTCTATAGTCGCTATTCTCGTTGTCGACCTGCCGGAGGACCGGCCCTTTTGCCATGCCCCCTTCTGCTCCATAGATACCTACGGCTATAGTCGTCGTTGCATCCCCGAAATTTTTACGTTTTTTTTTGTTGGGTATATAGAGGGTGTTCTTGTTCTGGGTCATGTAGAGCTTCAGACAGCTCCGACAAGTCCCCCACATTATTTTCATTCCACCTGTTAAAGATACGGGCAAGGTCCATACAGGGTGTCCCAAAAAAAAACCCTACCTAGCGGTCCGCAGTAAAGTCCGATTTTTATGATTTAGGTATCTATCGAAAGCTCTCGAAAAGGATTAAATCTCCTTCCATCGATATTTAAGGTTTTTCTAAAAAACCGGTAATTTTTCAACAGGAATTTCGCAAGTAGCATGCAGATCTTGCATAAATGATCAGTTTTCATGGTTATTGAACGTAAAATTAGAGAATAAAAATAGATAAGAAAGAAAATGAACCCTCCTTGTTTTCTCGTCCTTTCAAGAGCTATCGATCGACACCTAAATCGTAAAAATCGGAATCGACTGCGGACCGCTAGGTAGGGGGGTTTTTTGAGACACCCAGTACATTTTGCGGATTTCGACTCCACATTTTCACGGATTCAGGGCACCTTTTGAACGTCATACTTCCGAAAATCAGTCTTTCAAAAAGTAAATAGTCGAAAATCAGGCTTTCGACAACTCATATTGTCGAAATATTTGCGCCCAAGCCCAACCGGCAGGGTCCTAAAAGTTTAAACTAGCAATGCAAATTTTTATAAATTCTGAGTTTTGGTAATCTGCCTTTCCAAACTACGAATTTTCGAAAAATAGGACTCGAAAAGACGAAACTTTTCAAAAAAACTGCTTTCCAAAAAAAAATGTCATCTCATGGCCGTTGATCCTGGGTTTCGAGTGTGTATGCTGTATCCGGGCGCGTAATTCGATGGTGGGCACCCCGGTGGGGTGGTGTGTGAAGTGGGGAGAGGGCCCTTGAATGGCGGAAGGGTTGTTGCCCGGAATATTTGCATATGACACATCTCCACGCGAGACGTCGCTTTTAGAGCCGGGCGTTTTGGAAAACAGTATGTGTTTCTGGTGGTGGCCACAATGGCCGACGAAACTACCATTGGAGATTTGCATATATTCGTAGATCGCTGTGGTGTATTCATACATCAGTATGATGGTCAATCTCTCTCTCTCTCTCTCTCTCTCTCTCTCTCTCTCTCTTTCTTCTTCTTTCTTTCTTTCTTTCTTTCTCTCTCTTTCTCTCGCCCTCTCACTCACTCTCTTTCAGTCTCTCTCTATGTTTCTCTGTCACGATCACTCGCTCCTTTCTCCGCCACGCTCTCTTTCTATCGCTCTCTCTCGCTCTCTCTGGCTCTCTCTTTCGCTCTGTCTCCCGCTCTCTCGCTATCTCTCCAACTCAGAATCTCGCTCTCTCTCTCTCTCTCTCTCTCTCTCTCTCTCTCTCTCTCTCTCTCGCTCTCTCTCTTCAACTCAGAATCTTGCTCTCTCGCTCTCTCTCCAACTCAGAATCTTGCTCTCTCGCTTTCTCTCCAACTCAGAATCTCGCTCTCTCTCGCTTTCTCTCCAACTGAGAAACTTGCTCTCTCTCGCTCGTTCTCTCGCCTCTCTCTCTCGCGCTCTCTCTCTCTCTCACCCATCCTTCCATACGTTCCCGGTCCCTTTAAAACCCGCCGTATGTTTTGTATGTCGGTGTACAGACATTGAAATGGGAGATGGAAGGGAGATGGGCTGGTTGTTTCGTTGTGGA